AATGAAAAACAGAGGGTTTTTTTTGCTGTTTTTCTTTCTTTTTTGTTCTGTATGTTTGTTCATATGTCTTTGGGAGTGGAAGGGAAGGCACAAAATTAGAAGGACAAAGGGTAAATAAATACACTGGAGACACTGTTGAAAACAGACTATAACTTGTGGGTGGGATGGGAGGGAAACACTGGGAGACAGTGAGGAAAGAGGTGACATTGTCCAGTAAGAAATGTACTCTTTACCTGACTTATATAACTGTAAAACCCTCTGTAATCACCTTTATAGTAACGATTAAAAATTTAAAAAACCATGGAAACATCAGAATAGCTTATTGCTATCAAGCACTGTTTTAAAACTCATGAGTATTTTCTATGTGCTCCTGGGAAATAATACAGGTCATTACTGAAAAATCACAACTTAAAGTTGGTAACAGAGGAGAGAAGATAGTTTTTAAGTTGACCCTCTTTCAAGGTGTTTTAAATTAACAAGCAATTCTCCCTTCAGTTGAGGCCTTTTGGCTTGTAGTAAAATGAATCGCATATTCCAAGGAATTTCAAATACACTCCTGACTTTAAGAACATAAATAGGACTATTTCAGATATGTTCTGAATGTATCAGATAGTAACAGGAGACAGCTCCAAGAGAGCAAATTTAACTTTCCTGTGATGTCTTGGGTACGTCTCCTTTTGTGAATATGAATTGACTTATCTTTTCATAACATAAACCAGGATTTTCATGTCATAGCATATTACTGCAATTTTTGTGGGTTTTTTTTTTTTTTTGGTCAGTCATGGGGGTTGAACTCAGGGCCTGGGTGCTGTTCTTAAACTCTTGCTCAAAGTTAGTGCTCTAGCACTTTGAGCCACAGTGCTACTCCTTCTGTGAAGTTATAATGTTGAAATTACTTCAAGGCTTAAAATTTTATTCCACAAACAATATTCTAAGAGCCAACTGAAGAAAAACAAGGCAGTCTCTCAGATTACAGGATCACTGGAACAAATGAGCTATTAGGATAACAAAGTACATTCAATGGCATGCTAATAAGCTAGCTCTTTGATTTCAGAGTGATATTAAAAACTCAAATTTTAAAACTCCCCTGGCTTATACATGTTGCTATCCACAATGAAAATATTCTCATTAGGGACTAAGTTAAGCTTATAACTGGCTCGTATTCAAATTCTAAAACTTAACCATTGCTCTCACTAGTTTGCAGGATTCTGTACTGACCCACCACCCCAGTCACAAATCTGCCCTTATAATATTCATTTTAAAAACAGGGGTGAAGCCCCATGATTGTGTTTTTACAGGGTTTTCTATAGAACTGGCTGCTTAGCTTTTTTGGGGGGGTCAGTTGTAGGGCTTGAACTTTGCAGAGGCTTGGGCACTGTCCCTGTGCTCTTCAGCTCAAGGCAAGCGCTTATCACTTAAGCCACAGCGCCACTTCTGGTTTTCTAGTGGTTTATTGGAGGTAAGTCTCATGTACTTTCCTGCCCAGGTTGGCTTTGAACCATGATCCTCAGATCTCAGCCTCCTGAGTAGCTAGTATTACAGGTGTGAGCCACCAGCGCCCAGGTGCTTAGCATTTTTAAGTGTACTAATTTCACAATGTTCACATTGTGTAGTCATCAACTCCATCAATCTCCAGGACTTGTCATCCTGCAAAACTGAAGATACACTCACTTGTAAGTCTTCAATCCCCCCGCCCCCCCCTCCCCCCACTCCTTGTAACCATGGCTACACTACTGGCTTTTTCTAGGAGTCTGACCATTCTAAATACCTCTTGTAAGTGGACTTGTACCGTATGTCTTTTTATGATTGGCTTTTATCAATTACCATGACATTTGCAGGGTTGTCAAAACTTCCTTCCTTTTTTGAGTACTAATCCACCGTGTGCACATACTACATTTTCTATATCATTCATCCATCAGTGGACACCACAGTTGCTCCTACATCTTTGCTATTGTAAATAATGCCATTAAATATGTCTGTTCAGATTTTCTATTTCTTCATGGTTTAGTCTTGGTAGACTTTGTGGTTTTAGAAATTTATCAGTCCCCCCACCTCAGTTATGCAATGTCTAGGCATGCAACAGCTTGTATTGCTCTTCTAATCCTTTTTATTTCTACGGAATTAACAGTAACTTCCCCACTTCGGTTCTTGATCTTAGTAATGGGAGTCTTTATTTTACCTTAGTTCATCTAGCTAGGCTTATCAATTATGTTGATGTTTTCAAAGAACTTCTTTCAGCCTGTATTATTTTTCTATTATCAAGTATTTCTTTCTGTTCAAGTATTTATCATTTTGTTCCTTGTTAGCTTTGGGTTTATTTTCTAGTTCCTTACAATGTAAGTTAGATTGCTGATTTGACAAAATTCTTTTCTTTTTGATCTGAGCATTTATAAATCCCACCCTAAGAATGCCTCTGTGTGCCATAAATTTTCATTCATCTCTTAGCATTTTTTAATTTCCCATATGAGTTCCTCTCTGGTCCACTAGATGTTAAAAGAATAGGCTTAATTTCCAAAATTTTTGAAGATTTTCCAGTTTTCTTTCTAGTACTGATTTCTACCTTTATTCCAGTGCAATCAGGAAAGATCCCCTGTATATCATCTATCTTGGAATATTTACCGAGACTTAATTTGTGGCCTAACATATGCTGTAAGCTGGAAAACGTACTATTTTTACTTGAAGAGAAAGTATATCCTGATGCTGTTAGTCTGTATGTGCCTGTGAGGCTTACTGTTGTTCAAGTTCTTTATTTCCTTGGTGTTTATTCATGATTGAGAATGGGATATAGTCTCCTCCAACTACTGCTTAGAATTGTTTATCTCTTCTTCAATTATTTTTTTTGCTTTGTATGGTTTTCACCATCTTTTATTAATAAGAGTTCATAATTTATGTCTTCTTGTAATCAAGTTTTATTAATACATAACCTTTCTTCTTTAATAGACACAGTCCTGCTGCTTAGTTTCTACCTTTCCAGAATTCTTTTCCTACTTACTGAGCATTTTACTTCTTAATGAATGGTGATTACAATGGCGGGGGATTACAAGGGCCCTCTGGCAGAAGTGAGTAAATTTGCTTCAGATATGGGATTTGCCAATTAAATTATTACAGTCATGTAAGAGTGATTTTAGGTAAGGAAATGGTTAGCTCAGTGTACAGTGCCTTTCTGAAACCCAATCTTATTATGTCTCCCTCCCAAAACAAACACAGCAAAAAACATCTCCACATCTTAAAGAAGAAAAACTCTAAATTATTAAGAATGATACATGATGCTCTTTGTAATACAGTCCTCTCCTGACTACCTTTGTCTCCTTTCTCTCTTACTATAAATTTTTATACTCTTGCCGCATTCAAATACTGGCCTGTTCCTGAACTAAGGATCCTACTCTCTGGGTATCTATGCTTGTTTACCTGACCCTTCCTCTGTCAGGAGTATCCAACCAGTCTGTTTTCATTTCTAGCTTCAGCCACTCATTTTTCCATTTCTGCCTCAATTCTCTAGGTCTCTATGAGAAATCTTTTCCAATACGAATTATAGGTTTTTTTAGTGCTAGTCCTGGGAATTGAACTAAGGACCTAGGTACTGTTATTGAGTGTTTTAGCTTAAATCTAGCACTCCACCACTTAAGGCATAGCTTCACTTCTGGCTTTTATGGTGGTTAACTGGAGATAAGAGTCTCACTGACTTTCTTGCCTGAGGTGTATTTGAACTGTGATCCTCAGATCTCAGCCTCCTGGGTAGGCAAGATTACAGGCATGAGCCACTGGCACCTAGCTGAGTTAGTGCTTTTTATTCAAATTTGTTACATATTTCCTCAGCAATTAGCAGGGTATCACACATATATGTTAGTAAGTGTGCTAGCTTCAGTAGAAAGCAGACATTTAAAACCTAGGGAATAATAAAATACCCTTACTTCTGAAATCCAGAGAAATGAGTTCTGGAAAACATGATTTTCTTATTGGGAATATTTTTGATATGGGGAATATATGAATTCCCAATAAATCTTCTGATTGGTAATTTTAAGATACAATCTATTACAACTCAAAAGCATCTAAAGTTTAAATTGCATTTTCGATTTGTAAGATACCCTTGTCTTTGTCTATAAATTCTATTCTCCTCTAGACTCACCCAATCAGTGGCCCTATCTCTTTTTATCCATTCCTAGAAACTGCTTCAGTTCTTTTAAACTAAACAGAACAGTTTCTTCAACTCCACTTATTCCCATGCTGTTTTTAGAAAGAAGTAAACAAGGAAAAGAAGAATCTGATAACTTTTCAAACGTTTCCAGCAAATAGTAAGTATAATCTCTTCCATCTTCAATATTCCTAATGCCCTTAAGAGGATTTCCTAATGTGCTTTGGAAAATGTTAACTGTAACAAATAATTTTTTAATGAAGCAGGGTCAAGAGAAATTATGTTATAATAGTTTGCATTCCACTGTAGTTCATGTCATTCCATGTTAATGGAAGCCTAATCACATTTCTTAATAAGAACTTTAAACCTTTACATCACAGTGATAAGCATAAAATTAGGGTCAGAGATTTTTCTTTTTTGAAGAACAAATATAGATAAGCCTAGACATGTAAAAACAACAACAACAACAACAACAAAAGACCTTTTAAGATACCTAATCATGAAGAAGTAATTTTTGTTCTAATCCTCAGATATAAAATAAATCCTAAATCCTGGTTCTTAATTAGGCACACCATTTATCAGGAAGTTTAACCCTTCATGAAAAGGCACATGAAAGCCAAGTGTGGAAATGCTCTTGAATGGCTGAGATAGGGGGATCATGAGTTTGAGGCCAGTTGAGACAGTAGACCTGTCTCAAAAACACAAAAGAATGAAAGTAAAGACACAGAGCCCTTAATTCACAAATTAGAGATGACTTCTTGAATCACTGAAGTCTTGCCCAACGTCCACTCTCCTATGAGCAAATGTGTCAGACACCCTTCCAGTGCTTGCCGGACAGTCTGTGGGACAGGAGTCAAAAAGCAGATACCTTGGTCAGAGTATGTTTGCTCTAAGGCGTGGAGATCAGGCAATAGGTGAATACAGTTTATGCAGCAGTAGGTGAAGAAATCAAGGACGACCACTTTTCCACATAGGTCTCTGTAGACAGAAATGGGCTCTTCTGTATTCAGCCACTCTAAACCTGAAATGTACACAAAATAATTACAATACTTAAAGAAAACAACAAAGATATGATTATATAAAACTTTTCATTGATGTGAGTCTCTTTTTTCTAAGACCAAGACAAATGGTTAAAACACCTTAAAAGATAACACAATCTAAAGTCTATGGCAGTTCTACCAACAAATCTGAGACGTAGAGGACAAGGAGATATTTTCATGACTGCAATAAAATGTGTATTTGTGATTTAAGGAAGAGACCAAGAAGGATGGAAGGGAGTAGGAACAGGTTGGGGAAATAAGAGGTTGAGGATGGAAAAGCTGCTATTACAAAGATGTCTGCAAATGTGGGAGACAAGAAAAAGCTACTAAATACTTTCAGAAATAGTGTATCCATCTCTATGTGAGGGTGGTAAAATCACAGTTAAAATAAGGGAAAATATCAAATATTAAAATGATCTAAGTGCAGGGGCTGGGAAGGTGGCTCAGTGGTAGAGCGCTTGCCTTGCATGCCTGAGGCCCTGGGTTCAATTCCTCAGCACCATATAAGCAAAAAGAGAAAAGCTGGAAGTGGCGCTGTGGCTCAAGTGGTAGAGCGCTAGCCTTGAGCTGAAGAGCTGAGGGACAGCACCCAGGCCCAGAGTTCAGGCCCCATAACCGGACCCAAAAAAAAAAAATGATCTAAGTGCATATCTAATTAGGTATGAATGGGGCACTGACAATAAAGGTCAAGCTTAAAAATAGCTGAGAAATGACTAAACATCAAAAAAGGAGCAAAATATATGTACAGATCAGCATGCAAAATGTATCAGACAGGCTCAGAAGAGGCTGAAATGTTCTGGAGCTAGATGAGATCCTAAATATAAAACAAAGCATTTTAAATGAGACCTTAGAAGCTGCATTAATATTGACAGTCACACTCCTTTCCCTTCAAAGAAAAATAGAATCTCATTAATCTGTACTTTTCTAAATTAGAATTTATAATTACTTGACTATGATTCAAAATTTTAACACTGAAGATTTTGTTAAATTAATATCAAAAGTACAAGAAATCTAATCAATTTGACAAATCAAAGATAGTAAGTTTGTTGCTTATAAGTAAATAATTATAGCTATTAGTAATTATATTGTGATGCAGATATTTGGAAATACTTTATAATGACGGAAAGCCACAGTTGAGCAGAAAGAGTAAATATACAGCCCTTATCTGGAGTAGATACATTCTAAGACCCTCAGCAATGCCTAAAACTGCCACCAGAGCTGAATTGTCCGCCTTAAACCCTTCTCCGTATGATGTAATTACTTGCCATGCACTGTGGCCCTATGTGACTTGAGGGATAGCAAAACTTGAGGGACTTGAAATTTTTCTTCTTCACAATCTGAAGGATCCCAGATCCCAGGAACCTCAGCATATGATTTTTTTTTCTCTTTACAGAGTGGGGATCTTCCACTTTTTCACTTAAAGGAAGTACTGTGGCTCCTCTTTGCCAGTATCACTGCTCTTGAGCTTTAGGGCCATCATGAAGTATCCTGAGGGTTCGCTGAAGCCAGTGGTAAGACTACGCTGGGCCTGAAATCCCAGCAACTATTGGGTGACTAACACGGGTAGCATAGGTATGCTGGGGGGGGGGGGTGATTCATATCACTGGACAAAGGGATGACTCATTTCTAGGGCAGGACACCGTGGGAACTACAGAATTCCATCATACTCCTAGAATAGTGCTGAATTAGAAATTGTTTCTTTCTAGAATTTTCCACCTACTATTTTCAGACTAGTAGGCCAGATTGAAACCACACATAAGTGAGGACTAATGTATTAACAACCAATAACAGAAACTGGAGTTACTAAAACAGAATTCTTGGAGAACAACAACAACAAAACCCTTCAACAGAGTTAGCATTTTACCAAATAATCCCAACTGGCGACTTCAGGATACAGTGAATTCTTAATCATCTATTTTGATAAGTGTTAATTATATGCCACATCAAATGATACAGAAGTACAAACAACTTCTAATTAATGTATATTTCACATCTTAATTGTAAGGTACTGTATATATGAGTCTGTCTTCTATGACTTTTCTCTAAACTAACAAGGGCAACTTAGGTTGAGGGGCTGAGAAAAGAGTTGTTACTTGCTAAAAATCACAGGGATAATGAAAGAAGTAACAAGAATTTAATCTCAGGTCTGCCTGAATCTATCCAGTATAAAGCATGGCCTCCCACAAACTTACTTATTCTTTAAAAAAAAAAAAAGTATGTGTGTGTGTGATATTTTCTTGGTTTATCAATAAACTATAATCAAGAAGTCATAAACCTAACTTTATCTCAATTACTGTATGTTTTGTTCACTTTTTGCACTCTGTCCCTAATAATCAGGTCTAGCACAACATCAGACATGTCAAACACAAAGCCTGATTATACATGGTATGACTTAAGAATCAGAGAGATCAAAAGTAATGGTAATAAAATATGACCCATTCATTGTAAATACAAACAAGACTGGAAAATAAGAACACGCCCTCAAATTCTAACTGGTAGCCAGGTTGTCTCTAACAAGAGACATATAATTACAAGCTTTTTACAAAGCATGTGTACGGTTACACTGATATTCATAACGTTTTGAGGTTTCTTGGATGGGATAAGCGTTCACGTCTCTAATTCTTTTCTAAGAATTGATTCATAATGGAAAAAAAGAAACCCTTCTCAAGGTGAGTACAAAAGGCCTAGAAAGACACCCAAGCCTCTGTTGTCAGGTTCTGATACACCTCGCATGAGATAACCCAACCCCACCACAACCAACCCATTAAGAATACATGGGTTTCAGTGTCATGCCAGGACAAATGCCAACACCACCAGCAGGCTAAACAATGCCACTCCCAACCAAACAAGGGAAAGAACGGTTTCATTTCAAACTGCACTGCTGGGAGTATCTATTCCCTCGTGTTCCAAAGGCTCACACAGCACAGAATTCAAACCCTTATAACAAGCTATATAAGAGATTCTAACTTGAAGGGGTAGGGGGTGGGGGGAAAGTCACAGAAGTTTCACAACTCTGAAATGTAGGAATCCAAGAAGGCCTAGGGGAGCAGCAAACCTGGGGTCTGTAGCCTGCAATTCAACTCTGGCAGCTATTTAGTTCCCCCCACCCCCCACAACCAGGTGCCTCGGTTTCCCTAACTGTAATGCAAGACTAACAACACCTCACTGGCTTGTAGGGAGGGCTCAGCAGTGTTTGGAATTGTAGAATTGTAGATGGCAGGTAAAAACCGATGGGCAGGAGGCGGCGGAGGCGATGAGGACGACCCAGGGATGGACGGGGGGGGGGGGGGGGGGGACTAGGCCGTGTCATGTCAATCATCTGGACGTCAGGCCCGGGCGGGACCCCGCCCCGCAGAAACCCACCTCTGGGGGCGGAGCCCGCGGGGGACCCGGGGGGCAGCAGCGCTGGGGTCGGCGCGGGCCGCCCCCCACACACACCCGAGGAAGAGGGGGGGCCCGGGAGCAGCCCCCAGCCCGCCGACGCCGACCCCTCACCTTCCGGGAACTCGGGCACCGCCAGGTCCTGCTCCCAGCCGTCCACCTTCTGCAGATACTGGTAGACCAGGTCGCCCTTCTCCTGCTGGGTGACGGCGTCCAGCAGGGCGTACTCCAGCGGGGTCTGCGCGGGCAGCAGGCCCGACAGGCCGGGGCCGCGCGCGCCCGGGGCCGCCATGGCTTCCGGGGCCTGGCGGACGGGACCTGGCACTCCCGGCCCTTCCGCTGCGGCGCGGCGCCCGCACCGCACCGCACCCCGCCGCCGAGGCGCTCCCGTCGCCTTCCCGAGGCGTGCGTTCGAAAGCCAAGGCCCACACGACGGCAATTCGCGGGCACGTAATTAAACGCGCGTCCAGCGCACCCCGCCCCTCCCGGGCCGCGCGCGCCGCCGCCGCCGCGGCGTCTGGATGTTCGCGTCGCCAGATTCGACAGGGACGCGGCCGTGGGGGCCACGCGGAGGGACCCGTCCCGACCCCTTCCGCTCTGGAAACCGGAGCGTTCAAGAGCAAAAGTAGGGACAATAGAACAGCAGGACTTACAAGGACACAGTGGGCATCTAAAACACATCTTAGGAGCCCGTGATTGTAGCGGCATCGGCCGATTCGACACGGCCCGCGGCCGCAGGCGCGTCCCGCTGAGGCCGGCCAGGTACCGGCGAATTGGGGTCCGGCGCGAACGAGGAGAGCTTTAAAGGTTGGGAATGGCTGGCCAGGGGCCTTGGTTTGTTCACAGATAGGGTGTTGGGTGCCCCCGACGGGGCCGAAAGTGCGGGCGCGGAGCCGCAGCCGGCCGGGCGGGA